GCTGGGTCGCCAGACCCCTTCACACAGGTCTATGAGCTAGGTAACCTGCCAAAAGGTCCTTGGAGCCATAGGTTGGAAAGCATGGCTGCGCGGGGCAGACGTCCGAGGCTGATGCCCACCCTCCTGCTTCGCCAAACTCCTCTCTGTGTGTCTCTCTCTCCCTCTCTCTTTAAAGAACACAAGAATAGCAACAAAACTAAAAAGATACATTGGTGCACATGCACACTAACTACACACACACACACACACACACACACACGATTTGCTTACAAAGTATGTTGAACCACACCCAACTGGACCCGAGGTGAGGGCCTTGACCAAACTATTCTATTTTCCCAACAATCCTAAACAATGTACTGTGAGGTAAGGCACATACATAACACAATGAGATAGAGATCATTTAAAGGCTCAAGTAAGGTAAGGTAAGGGAATTCATTGAAGGAAGAAGTAGAGTGGAGGACAGGTGGGGAGATTTTTGATAAAGACACACTGAGTTGAATAAGGAAGAATCACGTGGCAAAATATGGGAAGGAGGAGATTCCAAGCAAAGAGTGGGGGAAGTGAGAGGAAAACATAAGGATGAGCAAATAATAGGCTGGACTATAGGATACTCGCAGGAAATTAATGGGAAATAAAGTTAGAAAAACAGTCTGGAGCAAGATGAAGGAAGGATTATGTTATTTATTTATTAATTTTTTTGTGTGGCTGGCCTATACAGGGATCCGAACCACTGGCCTTGGTATTATAACACTATGCTCTATTAATTTTAAAAATTGGAACTTTAGGGGCTGGCTGGTTAGCTCAGTTGGTTTGAGCATGGTATCAGAACACCAAGGTAAAGGGTAGGATCCCAGTACATGCCAGCAGCAAACAAAATTGAAACTTTGTAATATGATGGAGAACCACACAGGTTGCCTGAGGTGGGGAGATTAATCTCCCTCAAGTACAACACTAATCTGGCATATTTTGGCAACAATGTACAAAACAGATTAATTGAGGGCTGCAAATGGGAGATCAATTGAGCTGATGCCACAGTTGAGAGAGATTTTAAAAAAAACAAACAACTAGTTTGAGGACAGGATGACTGAGAAAAATTATACAGGTAGAAGACCAACTGGATTTAGAGAACAATGGAGAGGGGGCAAGATCACAAGGATGAGAGGAGGACATCAGGACAACTCAGGTGAATTTTAATTTCATATGATTTTCATGTGTCATGAGATATTATTCTTATCATTTTCCCCCAACCATTGCAGGCCATATAAAAACAGGCAGCAGACCATTTTTTGGCTCTTGAGCATAGTTTGCCAATTGATGCACTGTATATTGCAATTCCTTGTGCTTAACAAAATGCCTTCTTTCCAGCAGTTACTCATTAAATATTTGATTTATCAATGTGGACAGAGGTCCTGATTATTTTCCTTTAGTTAATGTTAACATCTTGCATTTGACATGGCAAAATTTCATTTCTACCTCTACAAATTAGTAAGCTACTGAAATGTTCAAGTAGGAACTGCTGACCCCTAACGGGAAGTTGAATTAAGTCAACACTAAGTTTTAATGATTCTACTGGGGTGTCTGCCATTGTAAAGTGACTGTGTGAAAGGAACATAGCTAGCTATGATGGGGATACAAGGAAAGACCGTAAGGATTAGAGTTGGAAGTCTCAATTTAAAAGTCAAATGTATTTTTATTTAAGGAATTAATTTTATAACTTTATTCAACTTCTAAAACTCTGCAAACAAGATTTTCCTTTCAATTATACATATACAGTGCTTAAGAACTGATTAGCAAATATAGACTTTCTTATATTTATTTCATAAAACATTTAACTGATCATGAAAGGGCACTACTATAAGTCATGCTGCTCTCTGAAAATTTTCCAGTTCACAATTATAAAAACATTTAACACAGTATCTCATTATCAAAGAAATAATGTCTGAAACGTCATTTTATTAGAAAAATAACAAAATACTTCCCAAGTTTAAGATAAAAAATTAGAAGAAATGTTATTTCAGATCAGACTCACAATTTCCCATTTCTGCAGCTCTTAAGATATATTACAGGTTAACAGAAAAGCAGCAGCAGCAGCACATGGAATAAAGCTCTTCTGTATCACTTTTCAGTTAAAAAAAAAGGACACTAAAATAATAAAGTTTTCTGTTTTTTTAATTTCTAACATAGCTATATCTTTTTCTATTACAGAAATCTCATAACATTACTATAGCTCAACCTCAATAAAAATCTCTCTCAAGTCTTTCCATTGGTGGCAAAGATGAATGACTAGGGCCTGAGAAGAAAAGGAATCTCTATGCCCAGGTTCCCATCAATATAAGATGTTAGGCTAAAACTAAGGAGGAATAATCCCAGAAAAAATGTTTTCTCCTTACTCTTCTCAACCAGAGGGATCAACCCTGCGCTCCCAGGTTCATCACACCTGTGGTTCTAGATAACTTATCACTATCAGCACTCATCCCAGCAGTTAACTATTTGACTTTATACACTAGACATGCTTCATATTTTTTCAATATTAGTATCTTTAAATTTGCACCTGATTCATCTGTGATCTTTACATATGAACGGCAACTTAGGAACAGATAAGAGGGTCCTTGAATCCCAAACTCCTCCCCTGCCCCATTTTTTCAATATTAGTATCTTTAAATTTGCACCTGATTCATCTGTGATCTTTACATATGAATGGCAACTTAGGAACAGATAAGAGGGTCCTTGAATCCCAAACTCCTCCCCTGCCCTCTTCTCTCTACCTTTTACATTTCCTGCTCCAATTTTGGGGGGAATTTCTCTCCCCTTTAGCTGCCTACCTATACCCTTCTCTAACTACTTCCTTCTTTGGGTACACAGCTATAGAACTAATGGTGCCAGAGGAAAAATAATGTTAAGCCACCAGGAAAGGCAAAAAACCTTAAAGTACCAAGTGTGAACCAGGTGTATGTTCTCATCAAATCCTCCTACCAGCCTGATAAAATATTATGATCCCAATTTTTTCAGAAGAGAAAACAGACTCTATGAGGCCCAGGGTGCCCGAGATTGAGAGGGGTCCTGGGATTTGGGACTTCCAGGTTTTGAAACTGGAAGTCTCTGGCAAAGGTGGTCACCTTATTAAGTCTGTCCTTACCCTTTCACAGGTTCACATCTGAACCCAGGTCAGTCAGGCTCCAAAACCTATGCACTTTCCCCCAGAACTCCTGCTCCCCCCAAGCTAAACTCCCTCTCAAACTTCAGAAGCCCTGGGATTTTCCTCACCCAGAGGCCGTATTAGCCCATTTTCTGCTACTTTTAACAGAATACCTGAACGTGGGCAATTTATAAAGAAAAGAGGTTTATTTCTTAGTTTTGGAGGCTGGGAAGTCCAAAGTCCAGGGGGCACATTTGGTGAAGGCCTTCTTCTGGTGGGAACGCTCTACAGAGTCCTGTGGTGCTGCAGGGTATCACATAACGGGGGCTGGGCAAGAACACTTTTTGATGTGCTCACTTGCTCTCCTTATAAAGCCACCAGAGCCACTCTCCAATAACCCATTAAACCATTAACCCATTAATCCATGAATAGATGAATCCAATCATGAAGGCACAGCCTTACCATCCAGTCACTTCTTAAAGTCCTCAACTTTCAAATACATTTTGGAAATTAAGTTCCAACATGAGCTTTGGAGGGGACAAACACTCAAACCACAGAATGGGCCAAACCTAATTCTGGTAAAAAATGATCCCAATTTTTATTCTATCTTTTTATTCTATCTTTTCCTCTGCAATGTATACAAATCATTCTTAATTCCTAATACAGTACACCCAAAGGACCACCACTGACTACCTGTATCGGACAATGAAAAATTAAGAGGCAAAAGGGCCTGTAGAAGGGCTGATTTCTTGGAACTCAGCCTATTTCTTCTTTACCATCATCATTAGCTGCAAAACTCTTTTGTGGGGAGGGGCAATGTTTAAAGAACTGAAAAATAAATTGTTCTTGCCTCAAGCGAGCAGGTTCTCCCCTCCCTACCCACCAGGGGACCGAGGTAAAGATGAACACTAATTTAAAACACAAAGCAAAAAAAGTAGCCTAAGGAAGGCAAGGCAGTTCCTAGGGTCCACCTGTTTTAAGGGGTGGTATTATCAGGTGGCATTTAGTGGCAGTTTGCAACGAAGAAGTGTGTCTTAGGTTTAGGCTGAGGAGGCCTCAGCCTTGTCATTGATCCTCATTCTCCAATACCCCTATCCGCCCTCAGAACCCCAGCCCTGGAATCAGGCCTAATACCTTCCCCATTATCACTCACTGTTACTCAGGGTCCTTAGTCTCAGGAACCAACACTAATGATTTAAAGGGAAGAAAGAAGAATTGGGAGAGGGTTTGAGGTGGCATCAAGAGATGTGCATTTGGCAACCCAAGTAGGAACTATGCTATATAGAATGTTTCTGCAGGAAAATAGGTTTTTCTAAGTAAATCAGTGTCATACAGAAACTACACAGCAAAATTGTATACAAGAGAATAAATACCCTCAGTACTTCCTCAAAAGCAATGGGCTTTACTTCCACAATATCGAGGGCAGCGCTCAAATGAATGTTTAACAAATAATATTATTTATTAAATGAATTTTCCATGCTTGAGGAATTTCTCTGCTTTTCCTTCTGTCACATTTCACTGACTCCCAGCACATGAGACACAACTAAGGAATCAGTGCATACCCTCTACACTCGTGCTACTCAAAGTGTAGCTGCGTTTCCATCATCTGGGAGCTCCCAAATCAGAATCAGCATTTTTTAAAACAAGATCCCCAGGTAAATAGCATGCACATTATAGTTTGAGGAACACTGCCTTAGAAGTTTGCTATACCGAAATCCTTCCAACCCCCAACTCCAATCTCCACATCAGCGTAAGAAAAAATAGAGCGCACACCCTGCACAGAGCCAACGATGAGCCCACAGTGGGGTTCGGACACTTGTCATCCCGGGCGTCCTTCCTCCCTGACAGTGTCCCATTTGCTCACCTTGATGCGCTCCCCATCAATCTCCACCGCTCGTTCTCGGAAATCCACCCCAATAGTGGCCTCGGTGCGGTCGGGAAAGCGGCCAGCGCAGAAACGGTAGGTCAGGCACGTCTTGCCCACGTTGGAGTCACCGATCACAATTATCTTGAAGATGCGGGAGCGGGCCGGAGGCAGAAACCCTGAAGCCCCTGACACCGCACCGCTGGACATGAAGCTTGCCTCCAACGACGACTCCATCTCCGAAGCCATTCTCCAGACCCGCCCCAAACTGAGGCGGGGTGAAGGAGACGCAGAAAAGCTGGGAGATTACGCCACTCGGAGCGAGCGCGCCCAGCCCGCCAGTTCCGCAGCGCAACGTCCACACCGCCCGCCCGCCAAGCAGCGCGCTTGCGCACCCTTCCGCCCCCGCCCCGCGCAGGTGTGGCGCGCGCCCACCCGGAGGCCCTGAGCCTCGCCGCCTGCGCCCCGCCCCTAATGCCGCTCGGGCTGGGGTTGTCCGGGGCTTGACAACGGCGCTGCGCGGAGGGCCAGCCTGAGCAGAGCGCCCCGGGCCCAGGACCCTGGCTGACCCGGCCCCGCCACGTCCAAGGTTCCCGCCCTCCGGAGGAAACCGCGTAGTCACTCTAGGGGCGGAGAGAGAAAGAAGCTGGAAGGAAGGAGGTACCACCGCGCACTGTCTCGCGAGAGGTCCGAAGAGCCGCCTTCGACGGGGCGTGTGCCCGGTGAGCCACGGTAAGCATGTCGGAAGGCTTGGGAGTCGGGTTCGGCGCCGTCATGGATGGATTGTTGGGGCTGCCCGGGACCCGGAGTTGGAAGCGAGTTCCCTTGGCTTGCAGCTGGGAGTGCAGCGTTAGCTGCGCTCACCGCCTCCTCCGTGCTCTCTGAACGGCGGGCGTTGCCACAGCGGCGAGGGTTGAATGGGAGGGGACGCGAGCCGCAGCGAGCGCCAGGCCGCGCTGAGCTTTGCAGCCGTTAGTCTCGGCAGGCGCATCGTTGTCAATGAGCAGGCGGGAGTTCGAGGCCGCCCACCGCCTCAGCAAGCGTCCCCGTGGCCATGTGAGGCTAGCCACGGGATCCTGGTGCCCAGGGCTCATTCGGCTGATGTCCCCAGTCGAAAAGGTTCAGCAGATCCTGTGTGGGCCACTCGAGGGCATTGAACCCGGGAGTCGTTACTAGACGCCTTTCTAGTGAAAGTAGAACTCAGTGGGCCCTGGTTATGTCTTTGTGTCTGGGAGACGATGATGAAGCCGTTAAATATTGACCGAGCGCCCTCAGATGTTGTCTTTGCCTGCCTAAGGAAAATTTATAGATGAAACCACCCAACCTTAAAGAATCTCCGTGAATTCTTCAGAGGAAACCTATTGTATATTAACTCATACAAAAGGTCCTAAATGTTTTTTGTTAAAAGTTTTGTTTTGCAGTGACAAGACTTTATTTTCTGTTGGAGCAGATGGTTATGCCATTCGGAAAGTCAAAGCGTATGGAGAGGAGGATGGAGGATATGGCAGACCTTATAGCGTTGAGGACAGCAATAGAGCACTAGAAGTTTTAGGAAAAGAGATAAGCTGCGCTTATTCCATCAGATGAAATGAAAACGTAGTAAAAAAAAAAAAAAAAAGTTTACTCACCTGGTTTAATGTGTATACAAATGACATTCAGTTTTCTGTTATGTAAACTAGAATATAGGCTGTATTGTAATCCTAATTGTTTATCTTTGAGGTTATTTCTGTGAAGATTAATCATCCAGGAACTATTAGAGAGCCTTGGAATATATTCCTCTAATCTATTCTACCTAATCCCATACAAGAGAGAATCTGAAGATTAAAGGACAAAGGGCAGTTGAAGAAATCAACGCTGTGGATAATCAAGAGACTTTCAAAGGATGGTGAAAAAAGCATCAACATCATTGCACTCCAAGAACCTGCTCTTTCTTTTTTATATTCTGGGTTTTTCAGTTTAGCTTGTGCTAAACTGCATCAGAAATTCTTTACCATGTTTTTCCAAACCCTATTAATTCTTCACACCCTAGCCCAAAAATTCTATCTCTGGGAAGCTTTTCCTTATTACTTAAGGTCAGAATGTTTATTGCTTTATTACAACTCATACACTTTTGGGAGGGTTGTGTTAGTCCGTTTCTGTTGCTTATAACATAAATACCTGAAACTAGGTACTGTATAAAGGAATAGAACTTATTTCTTATAGTTTCAGAGGCTGGGAAGTCGAAAGTCCAGGGAACACATCTGGTGAAGGCCTTGTCCTGGTGATGACTACAGCAACTCAGGGTAACACACGGCAAATAGGGCAGGAGCAGAGAGAGACTCACATGCTCTCTTTTTAAGTTCAACAGAATCATGTCATGACCACCATTACACCATCAATGGATTAATCCATTTACCAGGGCACGGTCCTCACAATCTAATCATCTCTTCAAGGATCCACCTTTCAATTACCATAATAAGATTTTCCATCCTTTTAACACTGTCACAGTGGGGATCAAGCCTCCAACACATTAAACTTTGGGGGGACACAATTCAATCCATAATAGAGGTATTGCTCATTTGGTCTTTGAATACTATTGTTGCTATTTAAATTTTGTGATTATATGTTGTTTTCTACCAACTAGATTGTCAATTCTTGACTACTGCCTTCATTTTTATTCAGCAAATGATGAATGAATGAGTGAAGTGAGAAGTTTCTTGTGTAAGGATTGTCAGTTTGAACTCTTTACCAATTATACACAGTTTAGCATCACATAGATTGAAAAATCATTGTTGACACTTGACATTGTTATGAGGAGTTCTGTATTTTCAGCTTGCAGTTTGAGAGAATCCTTGTGTGACCGAAGCTACTCTTCTTAATTGAATAACCCCAGAACCTCAAGAATGGATACTTGAAGGAGATTCTACCATTGGGAAGAGTGGATGGATTACGCAGCCATATTTTCTGAGAGTTCATTTGTCCTTGGAGTCCTTTACTACCATTTGTCCTCAGAGTGTGAACATGTGACCCTTTCCTTAATACTTTGCTACACAACTGAAGAGAAACTAAATTTGGATCCTTTCTAGCCATCCCACTTCTGGGTATATACCCAAAGGCATGGATATCATCTTGTCAAAAGGATACCTGCACTCCCATGTCCATCAAAGCTCTATTTACAATAGCCAAAATATGGAACCAACCTAAATGTCCATCAACAGATGAATGGATAAGGAAAATGTGATATATATACAACAATGGAATACTACTCAGCCATGAAAAAAAAATTCATTCACAGCAATATGGATGAGCTTGGAGAAAAATTATGTTAAGTGAAATAAGCTAGGCACAGAATGAGAAATACTGCATGTCCTCACTTATAAGTGGGAGCCGAGAAACAAAGAGAGACCATAATAAAACGCTGAACTTCCAGAAGGATAGAATAGACCTATAGTTGCTAGAGGTGGGAAAGGAGAAGGGGGAGGGAGAGTAGGGAGTAATTGGATAAGGGACACAAAAAGTAATTATAATTTGTAATGATGAACATGCTAATATATTGATTTGAACATCACATACTGTACACAAATACTAATAGTCAACTCTGTACCCCATAAATATGTACAAATAAAAATAATAAAAAATTTTTTAAAAAAGAATTATCCAATAGAGAAGGAGAAATAATGATGTAGGAGACAAAGGATAATTCCAGGAACAAAGTGCTTAAGTAGACAAAAGAGAATGGGATCCATTACACAAAAAGAAGAATCAGCCAGCTTCCAGCATCTTCTCTGTGCTTCCCCCATAGTCCAACTAGCTCTTCAGAGCCAGAAAGATGCCTTCCAGAGCAAATATTTTTTAGCTCATTTGATCCTCACAACTATCCCATGAATTGGAAAGCATTAGCATCATATGAATAACAGATGAGAAAACTAACACTCAAAGAGCTTTAAGTATATTTCCAGGATTTGCATGATTAGGAGATAGTACAGCTAACAGTTATACTATTTCTTCTGATTCCAAGGCAAGTATTTGTTTTATCACTATTCCCTGTTGCCTCTAGAAAATACTAAGAAGTTGGATGAAGGGTATAAACAAGGGGGTTAAAGGGGATATTTACACTAGAGTTGGGTGTCAGGTGGCAGAGAATTGGAGCTCATATTTAGGAGTCCAGGCCTATTTTATAGACACAGCCATAGGCAAAAATGAAAATAAATACATTTGGATCCTTTATCAGTACAACTTAAACTGGAACATTATAAATGGTTTAGGGTAAGATGAGTATGTAAAAGTACTTTTCTAATAGGAGAAAGAACATTAGATATTACAAACAGATAACATAAAAATAATCTTGTGTACAAAATAAGACTACTCAATTTCAGCTTTTGTTTAGGAGAGATGCCTCCTCCCTGTGGCAGAGGCCATTTTTTCATTGGTCTTACCCAGGAATAGCTCTTAGACAACTAAACTCTTTAAGTTCAGGCCTGAACACAGAGGACAAAGGAAAATTCTTTGATTGCTTACCTAATGGTTTCTCAACCTTGACACTACTGGCATTTTAAACCATGAAATACTGTGTTGTGAGGGGTTGTCCTGTTCGTTGTAGGATGTTTTTCAGCATCCCTGACTTTTACCCGGTAAATTCTAGTAGTACCTTCCACCCAGGTTGTAACAACCAAAACTGTTTCCAAATGTTGCCAAATGCCTCTGGGGGACGAAATCCTCCTCCCCCCACCTTTTGAGAGCCACTGTCCTACATAAGGGCTCTTCTCATAGTTCACCAAAACTGTTTCCAAATGTTGCCAAATGCCTCTGGGGGACGAAATCCTCCTCCCCCCACCCTTTGAGAGCCACTGTCCTACATAAGGGCTCTTCTCATAGTTTTGATTTCCTGTCCATCCCAGTTAATAGGAGGAATTACCTCTTCCTTAAAAACAGAATTCTAATTACCAAGGGAAAAATGGCATTGGTCTTGTTGGCCTCCATAACATTGCCATATGCCTGTGTTTAATAACCCCAAATATCATACAAGGGCTTTAATTTTAGTACCTAAACAGTAAATTACCATCACTTGATGGGTTAGCTTACTGAGTTTCAGAATTCTTCAAGTCATATCTTCATAAGTAGGGTCATTGAGGAGTTATGGAATTTGAACTGTGTACTCAATACTATGCTTGTGGTTGGGACAAGGGGAAGATACAAAATAAGATATGATTTTAGCCCATGAAGAATTTATAATCTAGCTGCAGAGACAAGTTAATATGGAACCATTAGTGAATACCAGGATAAAATAGAATGCTAAATTTTACCCTAGAGGTGCTTGGCCTGGACTTCAAGAACTCTAGATGAGTTGAAGGATGTTCACGGGAA